GCGGTTAATGAGCTATGGGCCCCCGTCTCTACAAACATGACTGATCCAGCGCTGATAGTCAGGCATTGTGTGTGTGTGTGTGTGTGTGTGTGTGTGTGTTGCTTTAAAGTTCCTGGGTCATTAAACAAGTGGTGGAAGTCTTCAATTAACTTCACAGACCGTGGCATCGCTCTGTGCTTCTTTTCAGCTACTGAGCTCTGCTCTGCTGAGTTATAACTCGACGACAATGCACAGTTGCCACAAAATATTACAGTTCCTGGGATGTTCTTTTTAATTGTTTGTATTGATTTTGTATGAAAGTGGAAATCCCTGCTGAAGGTGTAGAGTGTTTTTATATTCATGACAAATCAAGCTTCTCCGTAGCAGGAGACCATCGTTAGTCCTTCCATGCTAATACTGACAGTATGCATCTTTCCTTTCCTGTGTCCGTTTGATACGCAATTATTAACAATATTCATAAATAAGCCTTGAAAACTGCAAGCAGCAGCTGCGCCCCAGGCTGCTAAGATGCAGAAAATGATCCCGCTGAATATGGAGGTAGTCAGGCACATCTTGTATTTAGAGCAAAGGGCGAGGACATGGATCATCAAACTCTCCTGTGAGCTCATTACTCCCTCCAAAAGGCCAGGACCATTCCAAGAAGCTGGGGAGGGATTAAGAAAGATGACTCTGATTTTCAATTTCTTTCCTCTTTTACCAGTGGAGTCCATTTCCTTTCCTAGAAACGGATGGTCCTGGGCCAGGTGGACACAGTTACCCGCTGAGGTTGAATCATTTCAGATCCTTGCAGCCCGACTGTAATCACAGCGCTCGCTGTTTGTCAGGAAAATAAAACTCTGGATGGATTTGGCACCAGTTCAGACAATCAGATTTTTGACGAGAGGTTTTCAGTGTTGCCTCAACATGGGGCCAGACAGCAGTTGGAATAAAGGCTGAGGACGACACTGTTGCATCCAGAGCCTGGTAAATGGTCAAAAGTAAAGGTGCAGTAGAAACAGCTCTAAATAAGTGATGAATTCAATTACAATTATAAATGTTCTCACTATGAACAGTAGCAGTCTTCAGTTACATTTTGTAAATCCAACATTATGAATAGTATACAGTAAGATGTATTTGCATACAATTTGGGCAACGCTTTATTTAACATGTTTTACATGTCGTCTAATTATTTCACAGAAATAACTTTATCATTTGCTACTAATTATAGGGGAAATACAAAGTTCTGAGCATCTCTTTAAAGGGGATACATCATGCTCATTTTCAGGTTCATACCTGTATTCTGGGTTTCCACCAGAACATGTTTACATGTTTGAATGTTGAAGAATCCAATTAGTTGTCTCATACTGTCCGTCTGAATATTCCTGTATTCAGCCTCTGTCTGAGACGCTCTGGTTTAGCGCCTGTCTCTTTAAATAATAATCAATAAAACGTATGTGCATAAGCACTGAAAACGTTTTTCATGATATGTCCCGTTTAACTTTAGTTAGTTGAGTTATTGAGCAGTTGTTGAACATCCACTAACATCAAAGTTCATAATGAATGTTCATTCATTCAAAATGATTGGAAACTTGGTTTGTAAATATCTGAATGTATATGTTTGCCTGCTCAGCTGACAATAGATATACCGACTGAACACTATTTCTCTATCAATAGGAACTAATTCCAAATTTCCTTCCCAAAACTGACGGTGCCATATCCGTTTCTTTAATTGAATTACCCTGTTTTGTTTCAGGACAGGTTCATTAATGACACACTGTCCCTCCAACTTACAAGTGTACAAATGAGGCTCATGTCTAAAGACCACAACAATATATAAACGTGACAGTTTACAGACAAGAAGCTGAAAACGTTTTTCTTCCCCTTTTTGATTGTGTTGAATCATTTAACGGCGACTGCAACCGCTGTGTCAGAGGCGGCTGAAGATGAAGAGCAATGCACTTTTCCTCTGGGGGGGCTCTGTCTTCTAATGCCATCTGTCAGCGCAGATGTAACTGGGAGTGAGTGGTGCAGCGCAGCAGGGGTGTCCTTGGACGAGGTAAGGGAAGGAAAAGGAAATGTGTCCGAGACGAACAAAGGAAACGACTGTGGACAGTTTGGAGCCACTGAGGTGGAAATAAGCGCAGGTAACAAATCCACACCTGGATGACATACGCTGGCATTCTGAGCGATAAAACCACAAGCGAAGGCGTCTCCACCTTTTCATTGTTCACTGCAGCAGAAGAGCCTCTGGAGAGTGCTCGTGTGGTTTACGCTAATCATCTTGAGGCAGAACGGTGCTGATCGTGGTGCAAAGCCACAGAACACTTCACAACACTGAAGACTCAGACCGAGGGTTGTTTGTGTCGACCATGCGCCGATGCAACAAGCCAACACGGTGCGATCTGTCTAAATGAAAGGACTGGTGCTACACCATTGCTGCTACACATGAGATTGCAAGCTTCACTTTCATTCAGCGGATGGACATAAATAGAGAGCAATTAGTGCCGCTGTATTCAACAGCGAGCGTGTGTGAAGTCCAATGTAAGTTTCAACCTTCTTCAAACCAATCCACCGGTGAGTAGTGCTGACACAATTTTGGAAATTTAGGAAAGGTTTCTGTCTTTTGTACTCCGTGTGGGTTTCTCCTCGCGACAAACTGACCTGCTCACGTAGAAATATTGGATGTGCACATAACGCCAGCGAAGGGCCATTTCTGACCTTGTGACATCACTTTGGCCGTGCGGAGACATCGAGCATGAATCACGCTTCTAGGAGGAAGTCAGGCGGTACAAAGAGTGATAAAGTCTGTGTTGGGAAGAGGTAGGGGTGGATGGTTCGGTCCAAACAGAAGACTTTCACTCAGGAGATCGGTGTTACTTATTTTAACGTTTATGTTACATAATGTTACATAACAAACACACTTACTTTAAACCAGTGGTTCTCAACTGGTCTGGCTGCGGGACCCACCATCACCCCTTAATGACAAGCCATGACCCAAAT